ATGAAAGAAAGAGAGAAAAACAACAAACACCAAAGTAAGAGAGCCAAACTTTGCCCTAGGATGCAAGAACGTTCAAGTGCCCAAGAGAGTGGCCTATGTGGGAAGAGCTGGGAGAACGCCCGGCGCGGCTTTCTTTACCTTCGCCCATCTCCATGCGCTGCGCCATGGCCGCCGCAAAGCCCTGGCACCGTGTTCTCCAAACACGCAATACGCAAATTCAGATGCTTCATTGCAGATTGGGTTTCGCAACCTAAAGGCAAGACACGCTGCCTTGCCTTCAGCAATGCCACAGCTGGTTCGATCTCGTTTTGCGCTCGCTTAGGCTCGTTTTACAACCAAATCGCGGCAGATCAAGAGGGACCATCGCGTTTTGCAAGTCTTTGCTTTTTCTACACTTTCAAGCTCGCAAATCGCGCCTTGTCAGCGCAACAGTAGTGCGCAAAATGCGCTTTGACAGCTCCAGCTCAAACAGCGCAACTTTTCCGCGAAGTGAGCTTTGGCAGCTTCAGCTCAAAAATCGCAAGTTCTCAGCACAAGTGAGCAAGCGAAGCGTGCTTTACTCCAGCTCAGAAATCGCAACTTTTCTGTACAAGTGCGTACGCAAATCGCGCTTTGGCAGTTCCGGCTCAGAAACCACACTTGATCGGTGCAAGTGCAGTATGTGAAGTGCGCTTTGGTGATGGCTCACTTCGCGAAGCCACTCGTTACGGACTTTTGGACTCGTTCTGGACGCGTTTTGACTCGTCCCCGAAGCCAGCTGCACGCATGATCTCGTTTCATCCTTCGCATGGCTTTCTACAACACTGTTTCGCTCTGATCTCGTTTTCCTTTTCTTTTTGGGTGGTGGGCCATCTTCACAGCGAAGTCTAAACTTTGTAGGGTATTCCAACCGCCTCAATACATACTCAATTGACAAAGAATTGGTCAGTCGCTCCTGTGACGCCAGCTTCGTGGCAGCGGCTGATTGCGGCCTAGTCCTGGAATCCGTGCATTCCAAACCCAGTGATTCTATTCCACTAGTTCGCGTCCTCGGATATGCCGACGTCGGCCGTAGGGGAGAAATCGTCGCGGCACTCGCGGGGCGCGGCTCTCGCGGCTCCGCCTCACACGCGCCGTTGCACGCAGCCCAACTCACGGCCTCCGCTCTCCGCTCTCCGAGGCTCGCCTCACGGCGCACCGCTACGCCTCTCACTGGCCGCATAGTGAGCGTGGTGCCAAAGCGCAAGGACCTCTGACTCGGAATTGCGGGGGAAATGGAATGTGGGGCTCGTTTCGGGACGACTGTTCGCACTTTCCGAGGTCCGCACGCTGCCTGCAGGCGCTCCGGCACGCTGTAGCTCTGGCTCAGGCCTGAGAGGAAAACTCTGAGACTGCCAGCACAGGCGCAGGTCTGAAGTTGCGATGGCAGACAAAGGTCTGCCCAAACCACGACAGGATAGCAACCACTCAACCCAAACTCAATCGTGCTGCATTACCCATGAAGAGATTATTCACACAAGGATATGGCATGCTGCGCAAAGTGTCCCACGCCTTTCCCAATCGCTCCTCTGAGGAAGGGAGGCTTTCGCGCGCCAAAGCCCGCAGGCGCCATGGCGCGTGTTAAATTATTGCACAAGCACTAGTGAAAAACAGCTTCCACCAGGGTTCCACTGCCCTGCTCACTTCGTGAACTCACGCTTGTGCATCAAATGCTCTGACGCAGGTGCTCCGAGCAGGTACTTACCAAGTGCATCGCGCAAACCAAGCAGCTAGAGTCGTTGAGCGTGCACGCGAGAACTAAATGGGCTTGGGACCTCTCCGATCTGCAGCTGTCTTCTGAATTGTGTCTGTCTGTATCTGTGTGTGTGTGTTTGTTTATTTGTTGCCAGGCGTGCCCCAAAAGTGTTGTCTTGCAAGGTGCCTTTGGGGGAAGCGGCTGTGAAACCTGCAATTTTGCCCCTTCATGCTTGAGTCCGTTCCATACCACAGCGTAGCATGTGCCTTCAGTCCGCAGACTGAACATGCCAGTGGCATACATGCCCCGGCACAGCATTGCATCTGCCCTAGCAGCTGTACAGTGGCATGCAATCCCTTCATCTGAGAGGCAAGGGAGCCACCCGCGCTGGCATTGCATGCTATGAAGCAGTGCTTGCCACATGTTCCCCATTGCAAGTGGCCCCGAGCATGTGAAACGTGCATGCCTCCTCTCAGCTGACCCTAAGCTCTGCACATATCATAGAGGCAGGCAGGCAGGCAGGCAGGCAGGCAGGCAGGCAGGCAGGCAAGCAGGCAGGAAGGCAAGTTGCCGCTCACGACGTTCGGCCTTGCTTGGCTGGACTTGCCTGAGTTTCCCCCAGCAGCTGGACTCGCTCACTCTGCACTAGGTCTGCGGGAGATGCAACAGATGTGGTGGCATCCATCCCGCACGCTTGCTGCTTCAAAGCTGCCATGGGTGTGGCCGGCTGGCGAGTAGAGCGCGCGGCCTGGCCCATGCATTCTCAGCAAAACTTCCACAGTCAAACGACTCATGTGCACCGTCCTGCAAGGGCCTCTTGCGCGCAAATGGATTCGTGGGCGGGGCCGGCGCCTGCAATGAGCTAAAAAGTATCGTGGTCACAGTGGTCACAACATTCCATTCCCAAGGCAAGCGGCCTGAGCAGTTCCAGATCCTTTTGGCGCGTGTGCCGCTTGTGCCATCTGCGCTGACCCTGCTGCCTGTGTGCTGGGCGAAGGCAGTTGTCTTGCTGTCTCCACTTCATCGACCGGCCCCTCTTCTGCGTCATTGGGCCTGGGGCGACCCGCAACGATTACAAGCTACAAGTTGACACATGTGATTTGTCACCGCTTCGAACGCTGGCGACAAGCAAGCAAATTCCTCGCCGGGATCTGTGGAGTGAAGACTCAAAACGACCTGAAAGTGTAGCACAACCCGACCAAATGCAACATGAATGCAGCACGAACGAAGAAATTGGTGACTTCGCAGCAAGACCTTGAAATCGGAGATGTTAATTCGCAGCGTCGCCAGCTGTAGCCAACATGCAATTGAATGCAATCCTGGGAGAGAAAATCAGCATTTGTCAGACCGCTTGAGTTCATTTTGCTGAGGCTTGATACCAGCCAAACATGACATGGAGCGCGCCTAGGCATGCGCACACACACACACACAGCCACGCCACGCCACGCCACGCCACGCCACGCCACGCCACGCCACGCCACGCCACGCCACGCCACGCCACGCCACGCCAAGCACCCGCACGCACCCGCACGCACCCGCACGCACCCGCACGCACCCGCACGCACCCGCACGCACCCACACACACCCCCACACACACCCACACACACCCACACACACCCACACACACCCACACACACCCACACAAACCCACACACCACACACAAGGCCCACAGGCCCACAGGCCCACAGGCACACACCCACACGCCCACACGCCCACACTTCCACATGCCCACACGCCCACACGCCCACGCGCTCACACGCCCACACGCTCACACATGTCCACACGTCCACACGCCCACACGACCACACGCGCACACGCCCACACGCACACGCACACGCAGACCCACACCCACACAAACAGACACAGACACAGACACAGACACAGACACAGACACGGACACAGAAACAGACACAGACACAGACACAGACACAGACACAGACACAGACACAGACACAGACACAGACACAGACGCACGCACGCACGCACGCACGCACGCACGCACGCACGCACGCACGCACGCACACACACACACACACACACACACACACACACACACACACACACACACACACGCACACGCACACGCACACGCACACGCACACACACACACACACACACCCACGCGCGCGCGCCCGCCCGCACGCCCGCACGCCCGTCCGCACGCACGCACGCACGCACGCACGCACGCACCCACACACACACACACACGCACGCACGCACGCACGCACGCACGCACGCACGCACGCACGCACGCACGCACACGCACACGCACACGCACACGCACACGCACACGCAAATGCACGTGTGTGAAAGGGGGCAGATTTTGCAGGAAATGTTGCACAGGTAACATAATTAAATAATATTGTCTGCCAAATGGTTCCCTTCCCAGGCGCAAAAATAAGAGTATTGAAAGGTCAATTGCATTTCTCGCCCTTGCATAACCGGAGCACCATAGACGGTGTAGTTCACTTCAATCCTTTTGCACGAAACATCAGCCGCCATCCCAAACCCAAACAAACAAGCGCTCTGGCCGTGCCTGGGCGCCGGCTCCTCTCCTTAACAAACGAAACGGAAGGCCGGGCTGTCCATGTCAAGTTTGGCAATCGGGGCTGGCTTGCAGCGGCTTGCAGCTAGGGCTCTAGAAACCTGAGTGTGGGGAGCCTCAAACTCGCCAGGTCTGAAGAGGGGAGCTGCCAGCTTCGCTTCTGTCCTCGAACTCCACATTAAATGGACTCGGCCCGGTCGCTCACTTGCGCGCTCACTCTGGCAAGGCGCTCCACTCTTCCAAGTGACCCTCGCCTCGTCCGAAGGGCCGAGATCTCATCAGCGAGTTTGTACTGCTTGGCGCTCTCCGCAAGCTTGCAGGCCATATCAAGCACCTCGGCAAAGACAGGTTGAAGTTCAAAGCTTTCAATGTCACCCCGAGTCATCCCAAGGTCATCACAATGTGATCTGACAGTCCGAAATCGAAACAAAGTTGGCCCTTGCCCAGCAGCCTTCTCACAGCCGGCCATTCTCGCCAAATAGAACCTGGTTGCGGCGTTCGTTTGATGCCACCATGCCACGTGCGGTGATGACATGTTGGTGCTACTCGCCATGGAAACATATCAGTCTTGAACAAACAAGGTCCGAACCGAGCAACATGATAAGCACCTCAGTCCACAACTTGCACAGCCGCCAAGCAACGCAAGAGCAAGTCACATGAGTCTTTGTCAACACTCCCCAAACAAAAAATGTGTTCACCTTGCATCCACAGTCAAATGTCTCTCACGGCAAGCTAAGTCCATTTAACAGTGAGTAACCATCATTCAGCCCGACAGGTCGTGTCAAATCATGGCAAACATCAAACAAGGCACGCTCCACTTCCCCCGAGGTTGCAAGCTGTGCGAAGAGCTTCAAGGCGCTGCTCTTGCACTTCTTCTCAAAGCTTTCCACCTGACAATTGGAGTAACATGAGTACGAAGATTGTTGCCCCAACGAGAAGGGACAAGATGGAAATACAATGAAACACAGGTTGTATCTTTGCAGCCCGGTTCCATGCCATACTCCCTGCCCCTTCGCCTAATCCACAACAGTGAACAAGGGCTACTCTTCACTGCCATGGACATCATTGTCTTTAGCAGCTGGGAGCCACAAAGACCCACAGCCAAATAGATTCGCCCGCTTGACCAAGTTTTGCTGCGATCAAGTTCAGACTACACCTCTGCATGGCACACCATGCCACACAGAGAGCTTCCTCCGCGGCTAGCCTCTTTACTAGACGCGACCCCAACATTTGCCACGAGAGAACCGCCCAAGTCTGGAAAATTGCCACACTGGTGGTGAGTGGGAAGGTGGTGGACGCTCAAGCAAAATGCTTTGACGTGGAGGCGCTCACTGCAACCTGTCGTCACTGCGCTCGCTCTTCTTTTCCAGGGTTGCGCGAGTCTTGCCAAGCTCAGACTACACCTCTGCGTGGCACACCATGCCACACAGAGAGCCTAGCCTCTTTACTAGACGCGGCCGCCCCCACTTTAGCTCAGGGCAAATCAAACGAACCACAGGGTGTTTAAAACTTCAAAGCATCAAGCTTGCTTGAAAGCACATGGACCCTTTCAACACCCCTGAGTTCTCACCACTTCTTTTGACGTCTTTCTCAGCTGCAGTTCTTCGTCCAGTTGTTTCCAGCTCCATGAGGCTGCCCATGACCTTGAACTGCAGCTGCTCCATCTCTACACGAACCTCTCACTCATCAGGTCGTCCGCCTCCATGCTGGCCATTGCAGCCCCATTTCCAACTCCAACCTGTCTAGCTGCGAGGCCAACTCCATCACCACTATGCTGAGCGGAAATTTGCTGGACGCGAACTTCTTCAGCACGTGGGAGTTTTCCAGGTTGTCCGTGTAGGCGTTGAACACCACCGACCCTTCCTGCTCGCCATTGGGGGTTGTCGCCGAACACCATCAGGGCCACCAGGACTGCTACAGGCTCCAAGCTGGCAACGTTCTGGAACGGCTCCCCCTTCAGCACATTTCTTCTGGTAAGCCTCAACGAAAGGCCTCTGGCGCTCTTCCGGCCAACGCTCACCACATCATCTTTGGCCGGCAGGTCGAAGCTTTCGTGACCTTTGCGGCGCCGCTCGGACTCCCGACCTGAAGCCGTGCAGCTGAATGAGATCAGGGGCAATTTGTGATTCGCTTTGTGGGAGCTGTCACAGGATTCCGGGAGCGCATTATGGCACTTTCGAGATGCTGGGCGATGAAACCCCCGAGCCCGACATGTGTCACAAGGCGTGCGAGATCTGTTTTGCAAGAGGCGCGCAAGAAGCGTCGGGCTTGTCAGAGGAGGAGGACTCTGACGAGGTCAGCTGCTCGGAGGTCAGCTGCTCGGATGAAGAAAGCTCCGAGGAGGTTTCGCAGTAGCCGGCAGGACTTTCTTGCAAGGTGTCTGCCGCATTTGGGATGGGTAAAGGTGTGTGCTTGTGGCAAACTTTGCGGGTTTGTCGCTTGGGTCGTTGTGGAAGCGACAGGTGGTGAGTGCTTGCGGTTTCCACCCCTGTCTGCCTGTGAGTTTGGTTTTGAACTTGTCTGCGGCCACTTTCTGGATTAGTTTGGAGCGTTTCATATGGTTGAAACTTGCAAATGGCGCGGCTTGCAGCAAGACGGATCAAGTTTAGCATAGGTGACTGTACCTCCTGCGCAGCCGCGTCTTCGCAGCGAACATGGCAGCACCGGCTGCCGGGCATGAAACGCCCGAGGGCAGGCGGCTGGCCATGGCGAGGCTGGATCCAGACTCCCACGGCTTGCTGCAGGTGAAGGATGCGCAAGCAAAGCTAGCGACGCAGAGAGCCCAAGGCGTCGCCGGATGAATGCCATAGCAGACGACAGAGCCGGGATCAGGACTTTCTGCCAGCGAGCCTTGCAGCTCAACCCAACAGATGACGTGGTGGACAACGCGCATGCAAGTGAGACACAAAACAGAGGCGGAGGCCAACATCTCCGACTTGCCCAGGATCATCAACAAGGAGGTTCGAAAAGTTGCACGGCTTTAAGCTGGAGGACAAGGTCACCCTCATCGTCGCCCTCTCGCTGCGCTCGGTCCACAGCGCGCCCACGCCGTCGAACAACAGCGTGCGCTTGCCCTGCTCCGTGATGTAGTACAGCGCCTGTGACATAGCCGATGCTGCAGCATAGTCCGCCATCCTTCTTGCGAAACTTGCTTGGGTCTTGTCAGGGTAAGGCAGCATGAAGTCTCTGCCCTTCAAGCCGGCCTCAACGCCCAAAGCGCCACAGCTGCCGTCCCTGTTCCAGCCAGTTTTCTTTGGCCAGCCACGCCTGCCTACTCACGAAGATGCCGAAGACGCTAGTCTTCTTCCCTGCGCCACTTGTCTTGGACTTGCGCAACTCGCCTTGAAGCCCGTGTGGCTCCATTGTCAAGGTCCTCTCCCTTGCGCGTTGTTGAACCTCATGCCCGTCCAGAGCTTCACCAATCTGTACCCGGACGTAGTCATCCTCCATCAAGTCGCAAACAATGTGTTCCCACGCAATCACAACCGCCAGCAAAAGGAGTGTGCCCGAGGCTCCTCGCTCTGCTTGGCCTCCTCCAGCATGTTCTGAACCACTGCCGCGCTGCATCTGATCCTCAATGCGCACCTTGCTCCATGAACATGAAGGTGTTGTACACCGACACCGGACTCCTCGCACAAGGCGCTTCGACGGCCACACAACCAAGCGCAGTCAGAGGCCTACCTTATTCCACGTTGTCACACGGTTTCTCAACGCTCGCCTGCTTTGCCCGCCCTCCTCAACAGGATCTCTCGACTTCGAAGCCCCCCATCCGTGATCAGCAACTGGCCGCATGTAGCAGCTTCCACAGCTCCACGGTCCATCTTTCCCTTTGAGTCAGCTCCGTGCTCTCACCAGCCGCAGCTGGACTTTTACTCAACCGTGATGGCCACCCTGCGCCCTTGCGTTGCACCGCCTGCACGATCAGTTGCCGACACCTGCTAGTTCTCCCGGACCTGGAGCTCCTTCGCGCGCTTCTCGCGCGCGATGAGCCAATCACCACCACCTCGCTTGGAACGCCCTAGTCTGGTTCGGCCACCAAAGCCGCCCGAATACATGAAAAGTGTCCAGCCTGGGTGTTGCCACCCCAAGCGGGAAGCTGGGCTCTGCTCAAGCAAAATGCTCTAACCTGGAGGCGCTCACTCCATGACATCTGACGCACACCATGCTGGCTTGCCACGCAGCCAGCTGGCCGGGGCATGGTTGAGGCGCTAATGGTGCCGAGTCCAGAGGGCGCAGCTTGCTGCTTCGCAGCGCGTTCGAAGTTGTGTCTTAGCGAAACAACCTGGTGGAAGGGGCGAACAGACCTCTCAAGCAGGTGTTGAGAATCTACAGACCAAGTGAGCATGATCAGAAAGGTTATCTCTAAGGCTCCCACTTTGAGCCCGAGCTCTGCAGCGTTCTCCGCCTGGCCAGAAAGCGTTGCCAGTTTTCTTATCATGGCTCAAAGGGGATCAGCATGGGACAGAAGGGAACGCGGCGCATTTGGTGAGATCTGTGTAAGCATCAGCTTCCGCAAGTCTGGCTACACATCCTTGCCAAAACATGGTCTGCAATAGCCTGCGTGTTTGTCATGCGTGAAGCAAGTCTTAACAGATTTGTGCTTTGCTTGATCAGTGCTTTTGGAGACAAAACACGAACCCCGAACCCGCGCTTTCGCTTTTTCGCGCTTGGCGCCCCCGGTCCTGCATGTGCCGCAGCAGGAGCTGATCTCGGAGCACACCCTCGATGGCGTCCCCACAGCTGGGGAACGCACCCAGCGGCAGCCTCCATGGCAGCGTCCGCAGCCCTTGCAAGCTTTCTCACTCAGCTGAGTCTTCTCCGATCACATACCCTCTCGAATTCCAATATACACGCATCCTGCTCTTCACGACGCAAATTCAGCGTTTCATCTCATTGCTGGTGTATACAATGACATTCCCGCTCACGTAATTGTACTGTGGCAAGTTGTGTGGGGGTGTGGTGCGTGTGTGCGTGTGTGCGTGTGTGCGTGTGCGCGTGTGTGCGCGTGTGCGCGTGTGTGCG